TTCACACTGTGGACCTCAACCTATGGGGTGTTGGTACCCATGGACTAACAGCTACAGTCAGGAGGAGAACACGAAGTGGGCAGGTGGTGGGTGGATTAAAGGGCAGGGATGCAACTTTTATGAAACCAAGAGTAGAAAAATCTCCTTTAATTAAAGGGATATTAAGAATAGCCAGAACTACCACAGCATACAGAATAAATAGAAACCAAAAATACTTCCCATAGTTGAGTGGGTTTATACACAAACATTTTTTTTTTTTTTTAATCAGTCAGGAGTTTTCTCCTTCAGTTAAAGGAATCATAAGAAGTGTCACCAAAACCCAGCCAACTATGTGAGCATTGGCATGGAACAGCCTTTCAACAGCTCACATCAATGCACACAAGAGTGCACAGACAGGAGGTAAAGACAGCCCCAACTAAAATGACTCAAAAGAGACAGCAGATCATTAATCTTGGATGAATCTGTCCCATACTCAACAATTAAGAAAAGCTGTTGTGACAATTATTTATGGTCATGTTAATGACTGTAAGATACAGCCTCATTAATTCTCAGTTTAGACTGTTACAATGACAATAATGACGCTTTGCCACCCTGCTGCAGCTGAAAATCTGCCCCTCTCAGTTGACAGGGCACTGATTTTTACGCACCGTCTTTTAAGACAGAACATTTGGCATCACAGTGTGAATTGGAAACTGTGCTGGCATAGCAAGCAGTGCTCCTTCACATAATATATAAAAATCACCCAGAAACATCTTGAAGGGTTAACAAGACAAATCTTTGTACAGTTAATAATATTATCCTTGTCAAAACATACTTCTCCTATCACACATTTCTTCACCGTAACTAAAGCTATACCCCAGCCCTCCCCACTAATCCCAGGCACTGCTGAGCAGCCACATTCCTCCCACATTGTTTAGAATAAATGTTTACTCCAAGGCCTAAGTGTTCTCAGAAAGAGAGTGAGAAAATGGCAGCTGGGTTATGTATATATTTTAACCACAGATTATTAATGTGGGAGTTGGCTCCTTATTCATATGGGAACTGAAGACTAAAGCAGACATGGTGTCATGCCAAGCTTGGGAGAATGCTACCACGTGGAAGGAGATATTATTCTGCTCTCTGCAAGATCCATTCATCTATACAAAAACTGTCAGTTCTTGATTTTATGTGATTTTCCACATATGTCATAGACATCAGTTTAGAGCAGGCTCTTTAACCCTACCCCTGTATCTATGCATGCTTGAATGTGTGTATACGTATACATTTTAGAAACATCCACTTGTTAGACAAACTTTGGCTTATTGACTTATACTGGTAAAAAATCCTCCCTGTTTAATAAATTTTTGTCTACTTTGCATCATTTCAGTTGGGTCTGTCTTTACTGGCTGACTTCTCCCTCCCTCTTGTTTATCTTGCTGTGAGTTATTACGGGACTGTTCCTTGTGAAACAAAAGGAAATACCAGTACTTTTTCATCCCTGCACTTTAACTCTCTGTTCTGTTATACATTTTGGGAGACACACATAAAGCAGGAGAGAGGTGACAAAGTAGAAACTGAAGAATGTGGTGCTATATGGTGCCTTATCTTAATTAGTGAATGGCTATTTCCCCAGCCGGAATATTTTATCTATGAGTAAATAGTCTTCCAATGTTGCAGTTAGCTGAATATTATTTTAATGTACTCTTTCCAATACCCCTGTGAGGTAGCTATTAGAAGTTATTATGGAAAACATTTAATGATATCATCTTTCTTATGATATAGATAGCAAACACAAAGAGGGAAAGGTCCATATCCTGTGTAAACTGGCTTCTTAGGAGCAATTTAGACACCAAAGTCAAAAAGCCTCATTATTTTATCTTTTATGTAACCCTATGGACATAATACTGTAAAAATTCCCATTTTCACAAGTGGAGGTCTGTATCCCAGCAAACCCTGACGCAGTCCAATTTCAAAATGGCTGAGAAATTATTTTTCTCTCAAAAGCCTGAGTGATCAGGAATATCTAACAACATGTTCCTCCAGCTACAATGCACTGAGGGTATCTGATCCAGTATGTGTACTCAAAGAATATCCTGTCCACGATTACTGTGTGTAAATCATACTTTGGTTATTACATTCATTAACACAAAGAAATGTCATAACAGGGTTCCTCTAGGCAAGGTTATGGAGCAGATCATCCTGAGTGCAATCACACAGCACCTACAGGATGGACAAGGGATCAGAGCCAGCCAGCACGGGTTTAGGAGGGGCAGGTCCTGTTTAACCAACCTGATCTTCTTTTATGATCAGGTGACCCACCTGGTGGATGAGGGAAAGGCTGTGGATGTGTCTGTCTGGACTTCAGCAAAGCCTTTGCCACCATCTCCCACAGTATTCTCCTGAAAAAGCTGGCAGCCCACGGCTTGGACAGGGACACTCTGTGCTGGGTCAAGAACTGGCTGGAGGGCTGGGCACAGAGGGTGCTGGTGAACGGGGCTGCATCCAGCTGGCAGCCGGTCACCAGTGGTGTCCCCCAGGGATCAGTGCTGGGTCCAGTCCTGTCTAACATCTTTATCGATGATTTAGATGAGGGCATTGAGTCCACCATTAGTAAATTTGTAGCTGACACCAAGCTGGGGGGGAGTGTCGATCAGCTGGAAGGCAGGAGGGCTCTGCATAGGGATCTGGAGAGCTGGGCTGACTCCAATGGGATGAAGCTCAACAAGACCAGGTTCCGGGTCCTGCACTTTGGCCAAAACAACCCCCTGTAGTGCTACAGGCTGGGCACAGAGTGGCTGGACAGCCTGGAATGCACCTATACTCTATGGAAGGGGGAATTCTATAAGGAGGGTGAGGAAGAAAGGTGACATGGCAAAACTGGGATGAAGAATAAAGAAAGATCCAGTTAGGAATGAATGACAACAATATTTATACAAAATACTTGTCATGTATTCAGCAGAGGACCTAGTGTGGGGTCTCTTGGGAAAACAGGGGTATCACTTCATAAATAGCCACATTGTAGTGTCAAATGAGATCATTCTGTACACAGACAAGCTGAATTCTGCAACTTCTACTTAAGTGCTTGCTTTGCAACCCAAACAGCTTTTATTTTAATGGTACTTAAAAATAAATAAAGACTAAAGGAGCAACAGTGTCCCACAGCATACTAATTTGGGCCATTTCTCCTTCCAAGTGGCTTAACTTAAGGCACTTGAGCCTCTGCCTCACGTTCCCACAAGTTTCAGAAAGCATTCTGGCTTTGTTCTTTTAAAGAGGGTTATGAAAATGCAAACTAATAAGTTGCACTAAAGTTTAAAAGTAAGTAGCTTAGAAGATCAGTGTCAACATAAATGATATTAAAATGTGTAGCCACATAGACTACTGCTGCACTGGAGAGTGTGAGGAGATCTAAATAACATGGGCACAACAGAAATCTTAAATAGGTGTAGATAGAAGAGAAAATTCTCATCCATTCAAAATCACTGCCTCAAAGCCAGTGAGTCTAAGTTGTATAAGTACTATTTCATCTATTTTCAAATAAGACCTAATAGTAGATGACTGGGTCACTATCATTCTCCAGAGCAAGAGAAAAACTGCTAGGTCACTTGAGAACGTATCTTTTCCTTCTGAGCAGCTGGATTTTTGGCATACCACAGCTCAGCCCTGCTTGGAGCCTTGTAAAAGTCACTTCTCCAAGCCTATCGGTAGCCAAACGGAGCACTGCGAACATTCCCGCTGGAGCTGCCAGTGAAATAACGGCTCCCCGAGGATTAACTTCTTCCCAGTTAGAAAGAAAGTGAGCCTGTGTTACCACAGCACAATGGCCTTCATCTGTAACCTAGATCTGGGCTGGTTTCTTTCAAATGCCTTTTCACTCTGCTATCAGGAAACCTGCGCAGTTTGCAGGGAACTTCACAGGATCAAATGGTGCCATTGGGAACCTGCTGTCCCTCCCCTGAGCCCTTTTTGGAGAAAGCCTGAGAAAAATGAAAGAGTCTCAAATATCTTTCCTGGAGAGAGAGGCATGGGGCAGTGCAGGGAGCAGGGAACAAGCACAGCTTCCTCATCAGGAAACAGTATGAGGATAAGCACCCCTGTGTGCTTTGATGCTCTGGTGTGTGGATCCAGGGAACAGGAGGCACAACACTCAGTGCAGTTTCTGGTCACCCTGCCTTTGAGAGCAAGAGAGCAGGAGCCACTGTGGTGTGTCACGTGGCAGCCCAAAGTGCTGACCACCGCCTGCAAACATCCTTGTCTCCTCCTGTCTGGGGGCTGGGTCTAGAATAAAACCAGGGAAGGTCACCTTAAAGGCTGCTGCCTTCCAGCTTGTTCTGCACCCAAGGGAACAAGGCATTTGCATCTCCCACTGGTATATAGGCCTTTCTGTCTAAAATACAATACAGCTTATCCTGCTGAGCATTTTTCAGGTAAGCTTCTAACATAAAGGATGACACAGAGCCTGAGTCTGCAAATGCTTGTGTGCAAAAATATATTTTTCCTCCCATGAGACAGTCTGCTGGCAAATCACCAGTCACAGTGCTGGAGCAGGAAGGAATAAATTCCAGAACTCATCCACACTGAAGGCCAGTCACTGTAATTGGGGTACAACTGCGCTGACCTCTAAAGGGGGCAGTGTTAAAGTAATTTTGAGTCCTTAGAAAACATTACTCCATTTATCTCGAGAGCTGTGGACTCCTGATCACTTAGATCACATTCTGGCTCTTCGTGGGAGATTTATCAGATGTATAGTAGGAATCTGAAAACTGTCTGGAACTGGCAAGGGTAGGTAAGTTGGAAAGGGGAAACTTAACTTAGACATCTAATGGTAAGTGCCTCAGTTCAGAAAAAGAATTCCTGCATAGTCGGAGAAATAAACTATTAGAGACCAACCCTTTCTTTGCTCATCTGAACTGTTTTTTTGAAGTACCTACATCTATTCATTTACTCCACAGTATGTCCAAGTATTCAGTGCCAGTTTTACAAATTCTACATCCAAGAAACAATAAAATACAGCTCCTTACCTGCTCTGTGAGGAGCTCTCAGGTACGTGGTACATGAAGACATTTCCTCGCGAGGCAGCAGCCCAGTAACTGGCCATGTTTATGATGGGACATGTGATAAACTGGTCACTGATAAAAAAGGAGGAGCAGGGAACAGACACAGTCATGTAATGGAAAAAAGGAAAGAACCCACACAACCAACAGACCACTCTCTATCTTGATAATTTTCTTTAAGTTTTCCAAAACAGCTCATATCTCTGCCTTCAAATCCCCTGAAGGAAACCACATTTACCATCTATGAGTCCAGAATCACTTAGAATTCAGTAAAATTGTTGTTTTATGGAGTGTTGAACAACAGTGATGACAGTAAATAAACCAGATCTGACACACAAGGACTATCCTGGCCAAAAAAACAATCCCATTTTATTCTAGTTTATGGGGGTCTTTTCTTATAATAGTATAAAGTTCCTTCTGGCACCACTAGGTTGCAATGACATCTAATAAAAGGTTTTATATATTTCCTGGATTAAGGGCCAATAATATAATTTCTGATTTTGGATCTGTGTGATTTCTTTGGGTAGAGTTTCTACTGCTGGAAGAGGCAAGAGACCACTTTAGAAGATAACCTGCAGGTCTCATCAATAGGGAATATCTGGTGCAATATGTCTGGGAGAGAAAGGCTGACCAATAAGAGTGCAGTGAGGTAGTTAAATGATCAGTTTAACACCAGGCATTGTAATGCAAAAGGTAGAAGTGAAGCAAATGTATCCAAACCTTCCTACTTTCCACAGCCCCAAGAAACGGGGCTGGAGGGTGGGGTGAGCAGTAGTTGGAAGAAGCACAAGCTGTTCAAGGGCTGCAGGTAGAAAACAGGACATCTTTCTTACTGCAATAACACCTTACTTGTTATGATTCCTCAAGGCAATATTATATATACACACATCACCACTCCCACTCCTCATGTGCCCAAAGACTCAGCACATGCTTTGGGCGTTTATATACCCTTACCTACATGAGTGCACACAAACATATCTGCTGAGGAAGTGGGAGGTTTCAATTCTCAGTTTAGTGAATCTGAAACAGCAGCTTCTCCTTCAGACTTGGTAGGTCAAAAAAAAATAAAAATGACTGGTGCAAGAAAGAACAGTGTCAGAGAAACATGAAAACACATTGCTATATTTAACTGGTATGGTTATGAAAGGCACTGTTTGGGTATCTATCTTGGTTCAGCAGAGTTTATTTTAAGCCCATCTGTGAGACCACAAGCTATGGGCTGGCTGACCACAGGGCTCTTTGACAGTTATGGTTGACAACACCCATACAAAATGAAAATTACCGCTCTTCACATGCCTACCAGCATGGGGTTTTAGAGGAGCAGATGACCTTTGAAAACTAGGGAGTCTGGGGACAGCATTAGCTCTCGAGAAATGCTTTGAGATACATTTCACCATTTAAAACTGATTCTCAGTTGGTGCTGCGGGGGGAAAAAATAGTCAGCTATTCTGGAGAAGTGAAAAAAACTTAAATACATAGTAACCACAAAAATGAAAAGGTTGTTTCTTACAGGCGTGGAATACCAGAGTTAAAAAAAAAAAAAAAAAAAAAGAAATGAAAGAAAAGGAAAATGAAACTAATTTTATACTTGGAGGAAAAATATAAGAATTCAGTGGAAATATTTTAAACCCATAAAATATGCACAATGAGTGTAGTTTATAACAACCACTTATGTTGCTCTATCACACTTTGTAATTCCCGTTAAAACTTTAGCAGTTAATTATAACTTCCTGGCATAGAACTTTTCTTAGCTTACACATCTATGCTGGTAGTAAGATTTTTGTTAAAAAGAAACAAAACTAAGAGGAAAAATCCAAAAACCAAACCAACCAACCAAACATCAAAAAACCTTAACCAATCCCCTCTTTTTTCACCACGTATGTGATACTGATGTAGGTGACTGTCATCCTGCACCTGCTGTCTCCCTTCCCCTTCTGCTGTAGCTGGAGTACATTCCAAAGTGTTTCAAAGATTAGCATCAGATGTCCTGCTCTCACTACTCATCCTTCTTCTTGCTCAAAAATAAGCCACTCACTTATTTCCTTAGCCAAGGCATTTGCCTCATATCATAAAGGAGCAGGAATCCCTATGCCCAGGAGGCTGCCACAGGCGCTCGCAAGGAACTGTTGGAGTATCACATTCCTGCTGGGAGTGAGCTTTGTGCCAGCTCTTGCAGCTTTGCAAAAGGCAATGTTTGCACCATGCTGAGCCCTGGGCTATATGTGGATGATCAAATGTGACAGCCCTGTGTTATAACAGCTCCTCACAGACGTATGAGGGGAGACTTCATCACAGTCTACAATTTTCTTGTGAGAGGAAGAGGAGGGGCAGACACTGATCTCTTCTTTGTGGTTACCACTGACAGAACCCAAGGGAATGGCCTGAAGTTGTGTCAGGGGAGGTTAAGGTTAAACATTAGAAAAAAGTTATTCACCCAAAGGGTGGTTGGACACTGGAACAGGATCCCCAGAGAATTGGTCACAGCACCAAGCCTGACACAGTTCAAGAAACATTTGGGCAATACTCTCAGCCACATGGTGTAACTCTTGGTGATGACCCTGTGCAGGGCCAGGAGCTGGACTCAATGATTCCTGTGTCTCTTCCAACTCAGCATATTTGTGATTCTGTATCTCTAGATAAGAAGGGTTAAAATTTATGTCCTTTAGTGCTTGATTATGGCTTAAAACCTTACTGATCTGACTAAAGAATTTCAATCCCATGGCTAACAGTGGTGATGGAAGGAGACTGAAGACGAATTCTGGCTTTCATGCCCATGAACCATAGTGCTGACACATGCACTGCAGGCAGTGGCTCCAGATGTCACAGTGATGGGTGGCCTGTCCCTGGGACAGACTACAAGGGGGACAAATGTGTCATGGTGCAAGAGTTGACAAATGGCACAAAGCTCAGCCCACAGCCTTCTGGCTTGTTTACTCCATGACCTCAATGCACTGGCACACCTGGACCACCCAGAAACTACTGTCCACTTTCTTGGAGCAGATGTTTCCAAGCAAATCTTGGCTCCTGTTCCTCTCCTGCTCCCTAAGGCTGCCCTGGAGCAATCCTCTGCAGCTCTGAGGAATAAAAGGAAAACCATGTTTCTGAGGTGTTGTGGAGAGGGTCACAGTGGGACAGAAAACTAACACTCAGAGTGCAGATACCAGGAGCTTGTAGCTATGATGTCTCAGTTAAGAACAAAGGTGAAACATCTTGGACAGGCACATTAGGAGTCAAGCCACCACTTTATAAACCACATCACATTAGAAATGTAAAGAGTTTTTATAATGCATCTGCTCATGAAGCAGAAACATTAATAGGGAAAGAGTTTTCTGATTCATTTTTGGAAAATCTGTCCCACTTAAACATTCAGTCCCTGAGTTTGCACAGAGGCAGAAAACAGAAGGTAAGGAAACTTCTCAGTTGGCCTTCTTTCAGAAAAACTGAAACACTCCCAACCCCTCAGTTTAAGATCTGTAACTGGCTAAAGCAAACTGGCTGCCCATGGGGGGAGACAGAAAACTCCAGTTCTCTCTGCAGACCAAACCAGCATGTGTGACCAGAGCTAAAGACATCCACCAGGCTCTGTGGCCAACCATAGGCATCATAATGCTGTGGAGTCCTAGTTCAACTGGGCAATGAACTCTTCCAACCGACTTTATCCATAACTGCTGGACCCTGATGCCATACCCAGTTAGGGCCGAAGCTAAGCATACATTCAAGGTGGTGTGAACGTGGCCCAGTGCTCATCTTCCACCTCCCAATGGTCCACAAAATGTTTCAATGCAAAGTATAGGAGTGTATATACTGGAGGTAAGTTGCTGATGACTCTGCTGACACGCATGAGGTGCTGGAGTGTGTCCAGAGAAGGGCAACGGCGCTGGTGAAGGGTCTGGAGAACCAGTTTGAAGAGGAGCAACTGAGGGAGCTGCAGGTGCACATCTTGGAGAAAAAGAGGCTCAGGGGGAACTTTATTGCTCTCTACAATTGCCTGAAGGGAGGCTGTAGTAAGGTGAGGGCTGGTTTCTTCTCCCAAGTAACACTCGAGAGGAAATGGTATCATGCTGTGCCTGACACTGTGAAGAAATATATTTTGCAGGTTTCATAATAAAAAAAATAATGCAACTGCTGAAATCAAAGTTTTCAAACTTGACCACTCAGGAAAAGTATCTAACTGTATAATTAGGTGACTGTTTGGGAATAAAAGCAAGTCAATTAGTTCTTCTACTGTCAAAGGGATGAGAGGACTCAAGAAATAGTTGGTGCAGAGTATGCAAACAACCCAGACATCTTTGACATGAAAGAGTACAGAAATAAGCATTAGTAGTCTGAATCCAATATACAGTTCTGGAAAAACATCAAACTTTTAACAAGGCACAAAAATCAGTTCTATTTCTGTTTACCAATGACATTGGAAACCTCACAGAAAATGAAATAATATTGCCCATTTTTGTTCATTTGCATAAGAATTTCTCAAGGTTTTCAGAATATAAATGCACCCTTGAGATAAGCAAAACAAACCTTGTTCAACCCCAATCACACAGTTGTAATAGGATGATTTTCTTACCGGGTGGCATTTTCCAAAGCCCTGGAAAAGGATGAATAATCATCAGTTGAGTGTTCGAGGGAGTAATACCACGTTGCTGCATCTTCAATGAACGAGTTGGACTCTTCTCCTCCTAGAGAATTTTGCAGAGCCTGATAAAAGGCTGTTTTGCTGTTGGCTCTTCCTTGACTTTCTTCAAATTTCTGAGAACAAAATGCATACATGGAATTTAGAAACAAAAAGAAAAGATTCATTTTTTTGGTGGAACAATATAGGCTCAGATCTCCCTCTGCTGGAACAAGTCCTCTCTGCTGTGATCCCTGATTGCTAGGGGATTAAGTAGGGGACAGTCCTACTTTTGTTTTCCCAAAACTGTCACCAAGCAGAAGCACTGGCTTCTTCTAAATATACTATGGGACAGAAACCTTGATCTAATAATTCCAGATCATAGGTACCCTCCTGTGCAGGTGGAGCTCTAATACTACAGAAATCCTGCTGGCTCTCACAGAAGTAGTTCCTAGGGATACTTCTCCACTGTGTGTCCAATGCTGTCTTCCTGATGAATTCCTTGAGGGAAAACTAGAGGAGAGAGAGGGAGATGTTGCTGCTTCCCTTTGAAAATTCCAGAAAGTAAACAAGTTGTACAGCCATTTCATGGCTATATCAATCTGTTCTCTTCTGGGAACACCTACAGAGAAATGTGGCTGCTGTAAGTTCTGTATTTAGGTCCCTTTCTGGAATAATATCTGCCTTAGCCCTGGAAGAGAAATTCCATTCCTCCAAATCCCAATGCAAGGAACAGCCATGATCTTCAAGCTTCATAACTGCTAGGGCCTTTCAGAGGAACCAACAGCGAAACACCCTTTTCCTGTGGTCTGAAAGCTTTCCTAACATGAAGGCCCATTCCCCAGAGCAAAGTGCCCAAGACACAGGGACAATCTTCTGTGCCAAACTGCATACCCAAACACATTTTTATCAAATCTAAAGACTGTTGGAATTTTTCAAGACATCTTTCTTTAAGCAAGTTCTTTATTTTTGCAATTCAGTTTTTCTAATTTTTTTTCTAAATAATTTATTTCAAGTTCAGAAACAGAGCAACTTCCCTGAACTTTCCTATTCATCAAGTCCTTTCTAAAGAGGGCACCATGTAGGTGCATATTGGCTGAAACTTGGATAAGAACTCCTGAGAAAAAGATCTAATAAACCAGCTCTATTATTTTGGGCAGTCAGTCTGATGCAAAATAGGCCAGTGTCTGCCCAGTCCGGTTAGTGTTGATGCTTTACTGAAAATATTATTTTGATGGCCCACAGCTGGTTTTCATCATGCTTCTAGAAGGTCTTTCCACAACCCTATGCAGAAAGTACAAATGGAATAATTACTTTTCAATAGATTCACAGAAATCAAAGACAGAAAATAAGTTCCCGATGTGCTGAGGCCGAGGTCTGTCCTTAGTGACATATTCTAGTGCTCTGTGCATTTTGATTAAGTCATTTTAAGGGATTTCAAAACACTACCAAATATCCCAAGGTCCAAGAAGATCTTGGAAATTTTCCTTGTACTTGTAAAAAAATTCTTCTTTTTCTAGATTTTGGCCTACGCATTGTGAAAGAGTCATGTGGTGCCAGTTTCAGTAATACAGCTGCACTTTGAAAAAGATGGGCAACTCACTCATGACACGTCACTTCATGTGCATAAATGCCACATAAGAAACTGCATAGCACACTTGCCTGCAGAATCGTTCAGCTTAAATACAGAAAGGACACGTATATTCTTCTTCAAGAAACAGAAATGATCGCTGAGGGCCTGACTGCAAGTTCACTGAATTCAAAAGCAATCTTTCCATCACAGCTTCGGCACACATCAACTCAGACTCCTACCAACCAGTAGAAGCAGCACTTTGTCTAGATAGGGATCTCTCATTTGGTCACTGGGGTTAGCAGTCACGGGTAAGAACAGACGCTTTTCCATGGCAGTGCAAAGCCCAAGCTGTTGTGTATAAATCATCCAGGTACAAGCAACTTTCATGCAACGCTTTCATTTTATTGGCTTTTTAAAATGGATTTGTTACCTTATTCTACACCTGCCGTGGACACTTAAACCAGAGAGAAATACAGGGAAAAATCTTAAGGTATTGATTATGTACCCTAGGAACTGTTCCTTCACTCTGTCACTGATGGTTATCAGATACAGAAAGACCAATTCAGGCTCAGAAGTCTCTGAGCTGAAAAGTGCTAGAGGTTTTCAGAGCATTTAGCAGAAGTATCGTATTTGCTTACTCTATTTTTACAAACAGCCCATTTTAAGCACTGCTGAAAACAGCATTTTGTGCTGAAAGGGCCTTCGATCTGACTCAGTGCAGCCGGCCTTAGGTATTTAATGTCAGAGGTCAAGCAGACAAGGCAGAAGGCTGGCTTGGCTTAACAGGGATCTTACCTTGGAAATAAGGCAAAAAAGGAAGGTGTATGCCCAAGGTCAGGTGATATGGGAAGAATACAGAGATGCTGTTTGCCACTGTAGAGAGAAAATTTGTGTGGCCAAAGCTCAACTGGAGATGAAGCTGGCCATGAATGTGAGGGATAATAAAAAGAGGATTTTTTCAAATATATTAATGGCAAAAAGCAGCGTAGAATAAACATCAGCCCCTTACAGCATGAGGATGGTCACCTCAAACAGGGACATAGACAAGACAAAGGTGTTTAATACATTCTTTTGCCTCTGTCTTTAACACAGATGACGAATCAAGGAGGTCTCAGTGTGGTGAGCTGGAGGACCATGACTGTGAGAATGATCAGCTCCCAGTCTACCCTGAAATTGTGTGGGATCTTCTCCTCAAGCTGGATCCCAAGAAATCCATGGGACCTGATGGGATTTCATCTCAGAGCTGCTGATGTTATTGCAAAGCCTCTCTCAATTACTTTCAAGCTGTCTTGGGAATCTGGAGAGGTCCCAGCTGACTGGAAGGTGGCAAATGTCCTGATTTTCAAGAGGGGCAAGAAGGAGGACCCTGGAAACTACAGGGCTGTCAGTCTCACCAATGCCTGGTAAAATAATGGAAAAGATTATTCTGAGAGGTATTGAAAAACATCTGGAGGACAGTGCAGTCACTGGTCACAGCCAGTACGGTTTCATGAGGGGAAGGTCCTGCCTGTCAAACCAGATGTCCTTCTATGACAAGGTAACCCACCTAGATGATCAAGAAAAGCCAGCTGATGTAATCTTTTTGGATTTCAGTAAAGCTTTCAATACTGCCTCTCACAGGATCCCTCTGGACAAAATGTCCAGCACACAGCTGGATAACCATGTTAAACAAGGAGTGAGCAAATGCCTCACAGGTCAGGCATAAAGAGTTACAGTGAATGGGGTAACATCAGGCTGGTGACCCATTCACTAGTGAGGTTCTGCAGGAATCCACCTCAGGCCCTGTTCTCTTCAACATCTTCATTAACTCCTTGGACACAGGACTCAAAGGCACACTAAGTTTGCCAACAACACTAAATTGGGAGGAGCTGTCAACTCCCTCCAGGGCAGAGAGGCCCTGCAGAGTGAGCCTGACAAATTAGAGAGATGGGCAATCACCAACTGTGTGAAGTTTAACAAGGGCAAGTGCTGGACTCTATATATAGACTCTATATAACTTCTCAGAAACTGATTCAATTTGACCAATTTTCCATGTCCAACAAATGTTTTCCATTAGAAAATACATGACCAAGGAACAACCTTCAAATCACAGTAGATAAAACAGCTACTACCAGATTAATAGAAACAGCTGCACATCATGTAATTTAATTTACATTCTGCTAACCTTTAAAGAGGCATTAGCAACTGACCTCAGAGTTATAGTGGGGTTTTCCACTTTTTTTTAGAAAGCATGTAAGAAAATCACTGAAGTCAGCAAGTGCATTCCTTTCTACTTTTCTGGTGGTGAAAAGCCATCATAAACATTGCTTAAATATTGAGTTAAATAATGCGTACTGTTTTTGTTACTGCAGGATACTTTCTGGAGCATATGAATGAATCTGGTCGAGTGTTTTATTTAAAAAGATATTGTAGCAGTTGGTAGACCAAACATTTACATCTTCCAAGGGGTGAAATGTACTGTTCTGACAAACCGGAACAGTGATAACACTAACAGAGATCTTAGGCCTTAAATGGCTTTTGACAAACACTGTCACAAAGGATGGTAAAAGACCTGCCAGCCATTCAGCAGAGTCTTTCAAGAATTCCAGCTAGTTGCAAGACAAAGTAAAGAGCTGATATCAGCCCATTCTCCCCACTGATGCAATTTATCAGGATATTCCTCCCCTGGTCACTACAACAAATATACCCATATCTGCCGCCTGTGGTACATTGATGAATTCCTTTTTCCATAAAGAAATTCACTGACTGTAATACAGCGCAGGATGGAAGTTTTGGCCTGCATTAGTCCAGTTGCTTACATGAAGTAAACAAACTAGATTTATATCTATCTACTCCTGTATGTCCTGGGTTTGGGGTTTGCATCCAACTAGATTGTACTAAGGAGGGAAAGAGAAAGAAGGAAAATGCAAAAAGTACAGCCTTAGTCTTTCAACTAAATCCTTCCAGTGTCGAGATTACACAGTAGCTACTGAACATATGGAGGATGTACTGACCTACAGGCTTAGACAGACAAACACAGACACAGAGCCACATGAGTGAATCTATATACTTAATACCATTAGGTCCTCCCAACTGAGCATCACATATAGCACAGGAACAAAATTTTGTCAACTGGGAACTGAAATCAACATTTTTAGAGGTTTCTGCTCAGCTGCTCTAATCTATGACTGCTCAAAGCTAATATTCCCTGAAGGTCTGCCATGGGAATTGCAGTGAATGGGTTCAGGCTTAACTACTTCATATGCCACATAATAGTGCATTATGGTACCACTTGTCAGTTCCTTAACAAACTCTGCTTTGTTTCTCACTTAGTTTCAACCATCTGATGGCTGCATTGGGGATGAGTAGGAAGTGCTCCAGGAAGTGGTGAATCTGTCTGAGTTCACATGAATAAGCATTTCAGTGAATGCCATAAAATGGACATTTCCACAGGCAAGATATTGAGCACACCCTACTCCCTGCTGCCTCACTGGGGGACCTCAGCCTTTAACTGTAGGCAAATAGAACAGAAATGTTTTGCCAGCACTTAAGTGATGCCTTCTGTCTATTTCATTTTTAATAGTGAAGACCTTAATAGGCATAAGCACAGTGTTGCAGTGGGAGTACAGAGACACCCAGCACAACCAAATGTCAGCAAGCCCCCAGAGAACAACATGGTGCCAACTGGATTTACCACTTTAAGGTCTGGTTGCAGCCTAGAGGTTTTACTCTCACTCCTGTTACTTATCTGCTAATAGTTTATAAAACCTGCATGCAACTCCAGTCTAAAGTGATAAGATTTGCATCACATCTCAAGCTTGCTTATATCCAAATGGCTAAAAGCATCTCCTCACCACTTAACAGGATCAGTATTCACAGAGATCAGGTTTGATACAACAAGCCCTTGACTGAATTGGCCAACACAGTTATTCCCAGGAACTGGTAGAGCAAGTCAGCAGGGGTTAGGTTTTTCTAACCCACACTCTTTGCCTTAACTACACTGAAATCAGTCATCCTACAGAAGATGGAAATGAAGGATTTTGTCAATTCCATACACATGCAACAGTACCTTTTAGCTGTGTTTATCTACTGAAATACATGCAAGGTTCTTCTCTCTACAGATCTGGAATATAACCACAGATGGATTTTCATCCCAGGGAGGTTTGGTCCCCTCTTTGTAGAACAGATTAAATACTCTGGTTGTAGTCAGAGGCAAACTAGGAACTTGGTTCCCTAAGTTGAGTTCAGTGCTCTGTCCACCAGCTAATCCTTCCCACACTCCTCAGTGTAACAGTAAAACCAGCTTTGGGTTTTGTTAGAAAGATGCAAGACAGATCTACCTCAAGAGAACCCTTAAAAGTAATAAAGTAGAAGAATGGGATACAGTGTGGATTGCCTCAAATCCTTCTTCGAGGTCTGTTGTGGGGAGAGGACATTTAACACAGACCAAAGATTCCTTATGGCATTATGACAGAGGAAATGGGGCACAAACTTCCAGGTAGCAACCACCATCTGGACTAGTTTCTGTCACAGTGGCTAAATACATCTGTGGCTTATTCAGGACTTCATCTGACTGACTGCAACCATAAATGGTCATGGCTGTGACATAGAAATTCTTCTGAGAACCTGGAGAATGCATGTTGTTAAATAGCTTAATGAGCATTGCAGTTTCCCAGCAATTAATATACTAACTGTGTCAACAAGGGAGAAATCAGGAAACTTTAACCTTGCAGCAAGTCTTTAACAAAACAATCCAGACAGGAACACAGACTGGTCAAAACACTCATATTCCCTCAAGTCTTAAAAACCTGGAGCCATGGGAAAACAGAAATAGAGGAAAATGTGCATTTATAAAATCATCAGTTTTACCAAGGCCGTGAATAAAGTTTAAGAAAGTCAAAAGGAAGAAAATAGAATAGGACCACTTAGCATGAACATTATGAGTTCTCTGAAACACAGATGGAATTTGACTTAAAGCATTAGGACAAAGTAAGGTAGCTATTACTATAATAGGTAATAAAGAAGTTAATTATCCTTCTGAGAAAGGATAGTTAAACCTTAACAGTCAATAAGAAACTTGGGGACAAACTTCATTGCAGCCTGTTGCAATGGGACATGGGATAATGGTTTTAGACTAGAAGTGAGTAGATTAGTGGATAGAATATCAGAAAGAAGTTTATTACAATGAGGGTGGTGGAATACTGTCTCAGATTGCCCAGAAGGGTGGTAGATGCGCCATCCTTGGAAACATTCAAGGTCAGGTTGGACAGGGCTCTGAGCCACCTGTCTCACTGCAGGAGAAACTGGACTAGATGAGCTTTAAAGGCCCCTTTCAACCCAAACCATTCCATGATTCAACGATGTCGTGGTTTTGCCCAGCCAGCCAGCCCCTGGGGCTAAGGATGATTTTGTTCAAGTGAATTTCCGGACAAAAAGCCAATTAAAAAGTCTTAGTGACGCCTTTACTAATTGCATGTTTAAGAAAACGGAAGAGAAGGGTGGTTGCGCAGTTGAAATTAAGTAGCAGCCATGTAGGAGCAGGCCAAGGCCCCCTCCTCCCCTGGCCTGGGCTGGGGGCAGGTGTACCACTGAAGCCCTTCTTCTCTCTTGCAAGAGAGTGGAGAAAGAAAAACTTTAGAGGACTGACTGCTTGGACAAAAACCGCTGTAGAAAAATTCCAACAGAAAAATAAGGGACCTCCAAGGTCAAAGCTGGCAGCCGTAGGAGAGAGAAGGGCAAAGGGGGGCTGCTTCTTCCCCCTTTTGCTCTCTCCCTTCATCAGGGAAAAGACTGAAAAATAAAACCCTGCTACCTGTGAAATTTTGTTGGGGTGAGAAGACCCCCATGTTGCTCGTGGAAGAACCTACACTGGAATAAGTTGATGCACAAGGAAGGCAAAACTTCATGAGAGACCTGAGGTGAAACAGAGTCCTGTTGAAGATTTGTGACCCTAGAAGGAACAAGGCTTACTCCAGAGCAGATGGCTCAGGTAAGCTTGGGATCCGAGTGAGAGATCCATGCTGCTGCTGAAGATTTTGTAACCCTGAGAGAAACCTACGCTGGAGCGAGACAGCTCAGGTAGGATGTTGGGATCTGTACGTGGAATCCATGCTGCTACTGAAGATTTGTGACTCTGAGAGAAACAAGACTCACGCTGGAGCAAGGACAGCTCGGGTAAGCTGTTGGGATCCAAGTAAGGGATCCATGCTAGACCCATGTCGGGGAGGTCTATTCAAGGACTGTTCTCCCATGGGGAGGGATCTCCACAGGAAAACAAGGGTGGACTCATAAGCCATTATCCCCTGTGACCCTGTGGTAAAGATCCATGGTAGGCATGTGTCCCCTTGCAAGTCCATGGAAGAGAAGACCTTCAGGGCCTGGGTAACCCCCCAGCCTCCGGCCTTAGCCCAGGAGGGGTGTAGGCCCAGCCTTGGAGCTGATAAAGAAACATGAAAGAGTTCCAGCTGCAACAAGAGTGCTGCAGAGTTACTGAAGAGACCTGGAGCTCCAAGAATGGAGAAAGAAACTGCTTTTCCTCCTTGGACTGATATAATGGGGGGAGAAGTATTTATGTAAATACATAGTATTTTTACTTAAGTAGAATTGTTGTAGATATAATTCTTTAGTTTTAGCTTGTTAATAATAAATGTTCATATTATTTTCCCAAATCCAGTCTCTTTTGTCTGCACAAACCTTCTCTCAACTAATAGTAATTGTGTAGGGGGCGTGAGAGCAAATTGATGCAGAACAAAACCGTGACAAACGATAAACCTCGATAAAGAAGATCAGAAGATTCCCAAACAGGTCTCAGGCTGACGTAGACATGACCCTTTCTTAGGGCTGAGTTGCACCAACTTTTTGAGTTCCCTTCCAATCTTATTTTCTGCAAGCCTTTAGATAAACAAGATATTTCAGATTTTCTTTTTGGAAAGGCAACATTTTTCAGCAGAGCTCTCAGATACAAGTGTTTTTTCTTTCCATTTCAACCTGACACTGCTGGGATTTAGCATTTTTTGCCTTTCATCAACACCATGATTTGTTGCATAGTTTTTAAAACATCACAGAATTTCATTTCAGTTTTCCAGACAACTGTCATGTGCAGAAACAGTGGTAAGGGAAAGAATTTCACTTCCTAGTCTTCATCACAGGACTTGTACTGAGGTTACTGAGGTTTCTTCCCCTCTCACAGTGTCTGGATCATTGTCTGCAGGCCTCCAGCATCACAGTACATTCTTCTATGCCTTCCTCCTACGACTTCCTCTTTTAATTGATTTCAAAAGACAAAAATACATGAAATAAGAGCAGGAATCTTCTGATGGAGAACAAACAAGTAATATGAACTTAATTCAGATGGGTCAAAGGGGTACTTTTGCCATTAATTCTGAAGTAAATTGGTCTATGTGTTATTGGTTACCAGCAAAGAGAAGCTGCGATTGAACTTTCACAGCCAAGACATGAAATCCACACAGTTACAGAAAGCTATCAACAGACCTGCAGCTCACTTAGAAAACCCTCAAAATAATCCCTGCTGTGCTATATTCTCCTGTTGATTTCTTAGCATATATCTGAGCACTTGCTAACATTTAATTTAATTTGACACTGTTAAACAGAGAAGAGCTATTGCTCCTATCACAGAGAAGGAGAAATGAACTAAGAAAATTGATATACTGTCTCAGGAAGAGACAGTGCCAGAGGGCTCACAAGAAGACATAAAATCTCTGCGGGTAGACCTTCAGGCTTTTGAGGACTTTTATGTCCTAAGTACAGCATGGATGCAATTCTTTTTCATTTCACCAGTTTATGTCCTGAAACCTCAGACCAGTGCTGTTCTTAGTTATAGGTAGTCCATATTCAGAATCATCTTTATGAGAAAATGTACTTCTTAAAGGCAACAGAGAAAAAAAGTTACCAAAAAAACCCCACCCCAAAATTCTGACTTAATCCTGCTGCAAAGTGAAGAACTTCATAACCAAGTTATGAGCTTGCTTTCTGCTTTGTGAGATACTACTGAGATTGAAATTCAAATAGGATTTTGGAGACAGTAAAACATAAATGCTAGAACCCTGCTGATCTCCTACCTTTTCATATCTCCCCCAGAAATGTTAATCAACAAATATGGTAATGAACAGGTCTGGCTGGAAATGGACAATGCCTTTGCGTATTTCCATGTCACATAATTCACAGCTTGTAGAAATCAAAAAACATCTGTCCTGGCTGAATATGATTACTGTCATCACTATAATCATTGTAATACCATTATTTCACTAACAGTGAGTGTCCTCCTACCTTAATTGCCTTAGCTCTGCTGATGAGCCCATCTTGCTGAGCACTTCCAATGAGCAGATCTACCTTCCGAAGCTGAGGGCGCCGCAGGGCTTTGGCTAAAGGTTCCCGCAGGTAAATTCCATCCACCACTGGCCCCCAGTACTGGAATGGGCCACTTATAGCTAGCAGCTAGGTTAGCAAAAAAAAACACAACAAAAAACCAAACAAAACCAATAGGAATTTTGCAGTTTAATTAGCTTACCCTTTCATTTCCATTTTATTTATGCTTAAGACAACTGGTCTGATACCCTTCAAGGCAACAAGTGATCAGTTAATATAAGTGCAAGCTCACCATTGGCAGGAATCAATGGTTTTGCTGACAGTCTCAGTAAGTGAAACAGGCTGAAGAGACCAAAAGAATTGATGGTTTTATAGACATAAAAATATTGTTTTAAATAAGGGATTGGCTTCATGCTGATCCTGATAAGAAAATTTATTGCCAGTAGGTGTTTTAATTTGTGGGTAAAATGTCCATCTCTAGAATTATTTATACTGCAGCTCTCACAAGTCTCCCACTTCAGATACAAAACACTGGCATCCCTCCCACTTCCTTTTCTGCATACGTTCAGTTATTGAAGCTACAGACACTTGACTCTCCTCTAGAGTAAAACCAAGGGGTAGATAAAAGGGAACTGAAAGAAGGCAAAAACTATATTTAGATTTTATTTAGGAGACATAGTAAAAGCAGTATAAAAGGAATTTAGTCTAAAGGAGAATCACAGCTCAGAAGTGGATGTCGTGGACATCAACTTCCCCCCACCAAAACTAGTCCAGTTCCTCATTGACAAGGATTGAGACAAATTTATTTTTTTTAAGCTTTCTCACAGCTTTGTGTCAGTGGAAACTTTTTGTTTTCCTGACAATGGCGTATATTTTGCCATGTTGTACCTTAGTCTGTGCATCATTGAGGACACGAGCAGGCAACTGGCGGAGGCAGGCTACAATTTCCTCACTGGTGGATGAAGGGCATCCCACATCTTCAGCCAGGACTGCTGCTTGGGTCTGTGCTCTTCTTGTAGTAATAATGGATGCTGGAGAAAAAGCTGAACCTCCCTAGAAAAAAACAATACAAACAAACACAATATCAGTTAAAACACCTGATTCCCTGGTGCAGGTAAAAAAGATGAGAAGAAAAATCTGTCCAGCTGCTGAATGTAAACCACTGGCATTTAAATAAGTTGAAGCAAGTTCTAATGAACAAAGCAAAGAGGTATAGGGTCGGTTGGGCTGTTTGCACATCTGCCACGGTTATTTTGGAAGAGTTCCCAAAAGTGTCTATACTATGTCTCTAACCAGGTCACAAACCTTTCTGAAAACATTGCAGGAAGGAGAAATATTGGGACAGAAGCAGATACAAAGAAGGTGCTGTGAGGCACACGAGGGGATGAGGACCCCATCTTATGAGTGGAGTTTAAATAGAGTTTTACTATAACTGTGATAAACAAGGACTGAGAGCAGGTATGATGTCCCCAAAGAAGAGCTATTTATACCTTGTGACAATGCTGGTACAAGGACAAATGGGCATTAAGTATTCATATTGAGTGTAAATTAATTTCAGTCAGAAACCCTAAGATAGCTAACTCAAGGAGCAGTGAGGGTTTGGAAGAGCTATGAACTCAGGTAGTAGGAAAAAAGGCTAAAACAAACTACAAAAGAACAACCAGAGTACCAAGACCAAAATCAAAGCACAGGCTACAGTCCAATCTCTATCCCAGACTCTTCATTTCTTTGCTACATCTGTGCCAACGTCCTTACCAAGAAAAGATGGTACAAGATTTTTAAGTAGGCGTGAAAACTTCTTAATGAAAACGCAGATTAATTAGCATAAATCTGATAAGATCTGACCTAGAACAGAAAGGTTGGAATAGCTCTGACATGTTTCAAATGACTAATTTCCATTTACATCAGTTTACTATAATAACTGCTAAGATTAGCTTCTGTCCTCTAAAAAATCCCACACCCTAGATGCATGATATGAAAGACCCCGATCTATTCTACTGATTAACTTACTTCTTCCTGAATTTGCTCAAAGCATAACTACAAGTCTGCAAAAGCAAGTTAAAAAGAAATAGAAAACAAACAGCAAAGCCTTCATTTGAAACTGTCTCAAAACTCTGAGCCCTGAGAACTCTGTGCAGCTCTGGCCAGAACGCAGGACATTTTTTATATTTCAAACAAGCAGAGCCATTGTGACTGATAGGATACCATTGCCCACAACTGGAGACATTAGTTTCCAAAAATAATTAGAAAGAAGTTACTGTTTGGGTGTAGAGACAGTCTTTTTAGTTCACTGCATGTAGAATTTCCAGTGCTATTACCTTCCTGAAAACTTTCTCCTCTTTTTTAAGGGATCTGGAAAATAAGCACTGTTATTAGCTTAATGGCTGAGAAGCAGATGGTTGCAAATAACCAAAGGAAAAACCTAATTTTCAATCCTGGGCCACTGGAAGAGCCATCTCGACTTTCAAGAGGGTGGAAGAACTAAATAAGAAGAAATAAATGCCACTTGGTCTTACTCCTCACTTCTGCACTCAATTTAGATAAGAACTCAAGTGAGCCACGGGCTTTACCCTCACGTGGGATTTGCGGTGGCCTATTTTGTGTTTGTAAGGCAGGACATTTGCCAGCTGCTGACTAGGTGCACTGACTCAGTTGGAAACGAGAGAGAAAGAAAAATATCCTTGGTGAGAGTATCTCATGTGTGGGTGGGTCTCCAGCACGCAGAGTGAGAATGATGTCTTTTCACCTGGCCTTAGGAAGAGCACGTGCACCACAGCTAGGATGAGTGAGACTAGAAAAGGGACAGCACAGCATGCCAGCTTCCCTCAGAAGAGTGGCTTCCTTGCATTTCATTTGGAGCAAGGAATTATGTAGCTCCTTGGTATAGCAGAAAAATTAAATCTAGGATTGAACAATATTTATCCACTAATATGGCAAACATATTCTTTCCCATCAGATCTGAACATGCTCAGCATGCTTTACCAAGGATCCAGTACTTCCACATGGCATTCATTTAAAACAAAACAAAGCCAAACCATCAAAAATTAAAGGGCTTCAGTTTCCCAGACTCTGAGAGCTTCACAAATTTTGAAAGTGGAAGTTCCTGTGGAAATTCTGAAGCTGCTGTATTAAAAGGCCAAGTTTGGTAGGGAAAGAGAGTACTGAGATCAGATGACATACAGAATTCAGAAATTCACTGGGACCAAGCAAAACAACCATTTTGAACACATCTCCTCCCAGAGATTTTAAAAGCTGTGCAAATTCTCCCTGTCTCTTAGACATCTTCAATCTAAAAGATTGTCCTTAGGTCATGTACTGAGTCAAATGACAACTGCAAAAAACTTCTGGATGGAAGTGTCCCACAAGTTCTCTACTGCAGAGGTAAAACTAAAGGCCTGGAGAGGCAAATCTTCATGTCCCAGCACTGGATATGTATGGGCTAACAATAGATATGATCAAAGCTCGACGACTAAAAGGAAAACCCAAAACTTCTACAGATACATTTGTGAGGTAAGTAGAGCTCTTGTTTGGAGCCTTACTCTGGCTGTGGATATTTTCTCTTCTTTCCATGAGTGGTTAGAAGAGGTTTATGTGGTCTTCTTCATTCTGTTTTTTTCTTCTATTTTCCATGGTAATGGCCACTTCCCCATTTTGCATTTTTTTGATACTACCCATATTCAGGGAGCAAGTCTTGCATTTGGGGTTTGAAAGAGATGTGCTATCTACTACTTCTAATCATGTTTAATTTTTACTAGGACTGGAAGCAGGTGATAGAGAAACTTGGGACATCATTCGAGTAGTATTTGAAAGAAACACTACTATGTTCCCTTCCCAGGTGCATCTAAAATATGTTCCAGGCTTTGAAAACATGGTTCCTCTTATTGCAGAAGTTAGGTAAGCAAAACTGTACCAGTTCTCTGTTTTTCAAATTCACATAAAAATTTAGGTTCATTGTTTCCTCATCCTTGCCAAAAAAAACCTCCTCAGGAACAAATAAGTGAGAAAAGAAGCTGTGACTGTCCCAGATTAATTTTGTTTCTTTTTGAGCCTGAAGTTTTTATATTAAACAGAAATCTCCCCTAAACACTGTAGCCAGAGGCTCAGGACGCAAAGGATAACACAGCTACACTCAGCATTTCCCTCTTTCCCTATAAAACTATAATTTATTTGTGTGATTAGTCCCAGCAACCAGTAATGAAGGACTTGTGTGCTTTAAAAAATAGAACTATTTAGGCAGAAGCAGAAATAGTAGAGAGCCTGTTTATTTCCATTACATGCACCCCTATTACCATCAACATGACAGAATCATGAATCAGAAAACCAAAAATCATGAGATCAGCTCAGAAATAACAAACACTACGTTCTTTTTGTTAGTCCTCTGCTTTTTAATTCTCCAAGAATTCTCCTTTACCTATCAACACAAGAGCTAAAAAGTTCAGTTTTAAAATTAACAGCTGAAATCTTCAGGTATTTCTGCAGAGTTGGTTTTTAAAAGCAAACCTCTAAAAAAATATGACATATACAATAGAATTGTAAACAGTAGCCACCCTGTCATCACTGGGTATTTCCTATCTCAGCATCATTTAGAAGGGTTTTGCAGGGAGCCAAAGCCACACACAGTTCTTGTTTTAGCTGTCCTTACAGATGGACCCATTGTCAACAGAGGAAGTGCCGATGACATTTTTGACAACGACCCAGACGAAAGCATTCAGTACTGAACTGCTAAGAAAAAGCACAGTCCACAACAGCAATGCCACACTGCTCTATAAAATTCATAGGAGTAGCAGGAACATCACAATGTTGGGCAGTAGTACCTGCTCCAACAAGTGATGGCACTGAAAATGGGAGGCAAAACTTTCAGTACTATTTAGTTCAGGGACCAGGGGCATTGCCAGCATTTCCTCGTTTCTCTTTTCAGAATTAGAGATTCAGATGGACAGTAGAAATTCAGATACTAGAAAATGTTGTGGCTCATAATGGTGAGAAGGTGTGAACACAAACTGGTGTTACATGATGATGAATTCTCACTTTGATGTGAGACTGAGCTGAGGCTGGTGCCTCTTGCAAAAACTTTTCTTTTGGGACATCATAGCTCAACAGACCTGCTGTGTTGCCATCCTGGCCATCCCAATTCTTCCTCCACAAGCCCTTGCTGCTATTCTGATGAGATAATAAAAAAGGATATATGGACCTGTATGTGGGTTGGTGGCCAGGTTTTGGTAGTGGGAGGCTACGTGCAGTAACTGCAGTGCAGAAGAGTGAGAGTGGCAGATCCCAGAGGGTCGTAATCATGCTTTATGTCTCATTATCCAGCTCTGATTTAATTTGTAATAAATTAAACTAATTTCTCTGTTTTGTCTGTGATGGTAACTTGTGAGCAATCTCTCCCTGTCCTTTCCTTGACCCACAAACCTTTCACTATATTTTCTCTGCCCTGTCCAGCTGAGGAGGGCAGTGACAGAGCAGCTTTGGTGGGTGCCTGGTCTCCAGCCAGAGTCAATCCTCCACAGGACTATCACTGTCATCTGCCCCCTCTGTATCTCAACATACCCAGAAAAGACAATTGCCATATAATCTGCAGTGGTGAATGTCTTTTGATTTCTCATTTAGTTTGGAAACTCGCTTCTGAAAAATTTTCAAAAGTGATTCAGAACACATCTAATGATTAGAAACTTCACTGGATTTATTTTTATCAGCCACACTCTGCAAACCTAAATCCACCTTCCTCTTCTCACATCATGACCTTTTGTTCTTCCAAACTGACTTTAAAATGAAATTCTTGCTTGATCCACATTGGTCTTTTCAACCCATTCATTCCCTGCAAATGAATGCAGTTTCTCTCATGGCTGCAACCAAAGCAGGCTTTCTGTCTGCCCTGAACCATGCTATAGGCAATGCAAACAGCAATTACAGTAACACCACCCAAAAACCGAGATCAAAGACATCTAATTCAAACAATCAGAGCAATGAAATGTCCTGAGAATTCTGCTTTCCCAAAAGAGCCAGCTGTACAGCAATATTTTATTTGTTAAAAATAGGCACTCTCCAGGCTC